TATTTACAGCCACTACCTGAGGAAAAGTTAACAGTTTAGAATTCCCTAAATAAAAATTAATTCCTATTGATGAAAACAATATTTTTCATAAAAAAAGGAGGTCACGGATTGGTTCTGCAGGTCTAGGCTCAAATTTGGGACGGGCCCTTAAATACCTATATCGTCACCTGTAAGTCCTCTTTTTCTGAGAAATATTAATATGCCTATTATTAATATTAAACAAGATCTACAAGATAATTACTCATAACACATTGCAGCCTGTCAACATTCCAGACAGATGGTAGTTGTGCTGATCTAGATAACAGGTCTAGTAGCTGGTTTCTAATCCAATAATGTTAGCAGACATGTCCACAAAATGTCAGGGATTAGCATGCTAATTAATTAATAATATGAAGAGATACTAACATATTTCCAAGATATTTAAGCATCTTAGCATGGTATTAGTAATGGTCAGGAATCATAAAGTATCTGTATTCCAGATTTCGCCCTCAATCTGTTAACAGTTTCTCTCACACAACATGAGTTCTCAAAGAAACATCCCCTTAATTGTGTAAGCCTAACATGAAGATGCTGGCCTTCATAAGGCTTCTAATCAAATTTCAAAAAAAAAAAAAAAAAGTAGGGTCCACTTCATGAACTCAAAATAGTAGCAGATTTCATAAGGATGGTTTTAATGGGGATATGAGCATGATATCATGTAGTTGACAGCATTGAAGATGAAGCGCAAAAGTAGAAACCTAGAGATGTCCTGAAGGAAGTGGTCATCTACTTACCTAGAAGTAGAAAGATACGTGTGTGATTATTTAATAATGAAAACGGTTTTTATTTTGCATCTTGGTTTATGACCATTTTTTACATACTATGCCTCAAAATGAGGTTGTGTTTTTTACTTCAATGGGGACGAGACCGCAAGAAATTCACAGCGTACCGAGGACGAAATAACCCTGATATAAACATTAAATCGGAGTGGAATAACATATTTGTCTTCTTTTTACAATAAAAAGGCAATATGCAGTTGGATCTAAAATCATCCTTAACCAAAGTCTCATATTTTACTGTTGAGACAAAAACACCAGGTGTGCCATGCAATAACATTAGCAAAGATCAATACTGCTTGGTAAACAAAGTAATTAATATGGTTTTTGCTAGCGCAGTTGTAACCTACTAATTAAAAGTAACAGTTATCACTTCACCTCTGGATCTATAAATATAATTCGAGCTTAATTATAGTGAACTTTCATGTAAAGATAACACCTCGATTCTACTGTTTGGCAATGACCCGTTTGCGGATAGAGAGAAAGGGAAAGCTTTGACAAAGAGATTTGGAACAAAAAGGAAGGGCAAAGGATAGAAGCTAAAGCGTGTCGGTAGTTAATTAAGATATATACCGGTATATACGTGACATTTCTGGTCACCAAACCTCTCTCTTAACAAAGTAAATTAAACTTAATATTGTGATGACCAGCAAGATTAAGCAAAAGACTGATACTTATCGATCGTGTTAATTTCACCTATCTACCTAGTCCAAAATTTGCTGCTGGGTAATGACAAAGTGCGTCGCTTATAAGTTAATCTAACTCTTCAGCAACCAATTAAGAACTGTAATTTGTCTGATTAAATCTGAGACAACAAACTCTACAGAAAGAAGCTTCTGAAAAATATACCTGTAGACATTTTAAATATCTCCGGCTAGCGTGTGCCTTCATCTCATAATCTAAAGTATATCTCTTGCTATATATATATAAATATTGCTTGTATGTTCCTTCTACTCTTTTTCACTCATCCTCTGTTCATTCTCCTATTCACAATTCCTCTCTTTTGCTCTCCTCTTCTCTCCAGCATGCCTTCCATAGACGAATTCAGCTTTAGCAGCAACTCGCTCGGAAGCAGTGAAGAATTTGGCGTTTCTTTCAGCAAAGAGACTGCATGGCACTATGATAGCTGCAACAACGCAGCAATTGAACCAGAATGGCTAAAGTCATCGGCAAATAATAACTCCGAACAATTCTCTTCTTCATCCCGAGCACAAGCAATTGCCAGATACGAGAACGATATGCTGGATTTGGCCCCCGAGTACGCGTATGAGCTCTCACTAAGGGATTTAGTGGAGCTACCAAGGGTAGCAAGAACAGCAAGAGAATCATCGCCATTGAAAGAGAGGTTTCAGAAGAATGGGCTAAAGACTGGAGGAAAAGAGAAAGTTAAGAATCCGAGAAGCCAGAGTAATGAGAGTAGCGGACTTTTACTGAAGATGTTTTTTCCGATACCTAGGTCTGGCAAGAAAAGAAACGGTGGAAGCTCTACAAGCTCTTGTGGAAGTTCGAAGTGTGGTGGTCGTTCAACCTCTAGTGGAAGTTCAACCTCTAGTGGAAGTTCAAGCTCTAGGGGAAGCAAAAAACTGAGTTCAACGAAGCCATTGATGAAGGATGGAGTAAAGAAATGTGCTGAGATGCAGCAGAATGCAACACTTAGCCGAAACTGCAGCAGGTATGATAAAGAAGTCAGTACATATCTTCCTGAGAAATATATGTTTTTATTTGTAATATACCATAAGATTGAAATTAAAAATATAACAAGTAAAATCTTGCAGTATTGATCACAGTAGAAATTTAGGATGTCTCACCTCTAACCGTGAATCCTCTAAATTTTGGTCATACATGGAATATACTTTCATATTTCATTTAAAAATTACATCAAGCACAAATATAAATTGATATAGTGAAGAAAATATAAAATTTGATAGATTAAACGTGGTACACAAGACGAAAGGTAAAATGTTAATGCTGATCGATTAGCTTGCAGAAATATTTGACATAAGCAATAATCATACCACTTAAATAAAGCATAAAAGCTAGCCAACGCTAACTGATTACCTTATGTTTTTTTCTGACTGTATTGCTCTTTTCTTGCAGGCAACAGAGTTGCTGTTATCCCTTCTTCCTCAACCAAAGCAAGAGAAAAACCAAGGAGATTTGGTGCTGACAGATTTCTACTGCAATTCATGAAAACATCCAATATGTTGCTAATGATTATACACAGAGTTAATGTAGAGATTGTATAATTTTGTTTGTTTACTCTTCTTTTTATTTTTTGTCCCTTGCCAGCATTCAGTTTGTTTTCTTTCCTTGGGCCTAAATAAATCCCCAGGATTCAGAAGTTCGTATAAATCGATATCCGATATGTTTAATTTGCAAAATTTGAGTATAAATAATTAAGTAGTTTCAGCCCCGTGCAATGCACAGCTATGTTTTAGTATTGAGGTTGTAAGTTTTTCAAAATAGACAATATATAAATGTAAAAAATAAAAAAAACTTATTTGTAGAAGTGTCCTTGCAACTTGAACACCTTCAATAAATCAATTTCCATAATATATAAAATGCATGTTTATTTCGTGCATTGAAATTAGATATATTTCCTTATGAATTTTGCCAGTTTTTGTTGAGGTTATATCAATTCTTATGGGTACAATTCTAACCTCTAATGGTGTGTTTGGTATAAAATGTCAAAAACTAGGTCAGGATCAATCCTGGCCCAATTTGATCCTAAATTTATTTTAGTTTGTACTAGGAAGAGGCTGATCCAAACTAAAACTAATTTAGAGGGCTTTTTCTATTTAAAAAAACTAGACCAACATTGACTCAATTTTTTGCTAAACAGAAAAGCACCCAACTAGGACAACTTCAGTCCTGACCTAGTTTTAGAGTGTCATTAAACACATCCTAACTTAAAATTTGTAGTAGTTATTGATGTAGCTCACAAATTTCAACCTACCCAGAATGGATGAGAATTAGTATAACAATATTGTTTCTCATCATAGTGTAATGTTATATTTTTAGTGATTATTTTTTATTTTTATTGTAAAAGTTATATTTATGATTTAGAAATTACTAAAATAATAAAAAACCTATTATTCAAATAATAATTTTATACCAAATAGATATTATTTTTATCATAAGGGTACGTTGTGTAGTTCAGAAAATAAAACATGGTAACATTTCACAGAACTATTTTGAGATAACCTCCATAAACTTGGGCACCTTCTGTCCATCGAACACGTTAATTATTGCTAAAGGTCACACAAAATGGTTCTCAATGCTGCATAAAATTTGTAGTACTGTATCTGTAATTAACCACCATAAAATGTAATAAAGGTTAAATAACCACCTTAGAATGTCTAACCCATCAAACACTTACAAAATGTGACATATAGATAACAAATCAATATCACAAATCACATTACTTGCAACAATAGTTAATTAGATTTTTGAGTTTGGGTTGCACTGAGAAGAAAGATAGTCTAAATCAAGAAGATCATAGTTAGGGTTTTGAATGACATGCTTTAGTCTAAATCAAGAAGATCATAGTTAGGGTTTTGAATGACATGCTTGCACCAATCGATTCAGAGAAAAACCCTAGCATTACTTCCTAATTAGATAACATATCAAAGTCACAAGCATCAATTCATTGAAAATTTAAACTGATAGAAAAATTACTCTAAATTAACAAAAATAATTAGGGTTCCACGCTGTCAGAAGAAAAATTCTATAATCAATAAGCAATGAAGATCCACCCATGGAGGGCTTGGAGCCTCAGAGAACTAAAAGAACTACACGAGGAGTTGGAGATGTTTGAATTTGGAAAGAATTAAATTAGAAAAAAAGAGGGTCCAATGCCAGCCGCAATCACCACAAAAGAAATTGCGATATATTTGAGGCTTAAGGTGTAGAAATGACAAAAATATTGGTAAAGTTCAGGAAATTTGAAGCAAACAGGTATTTGGGTGCTTGTCGGTCGACCGCAAGCTTTGGAACGGTCGACCGCAAATGTGTATGAGTACAGGGTAGTTTCTGGAGTTCTGATAGAAATGACAAAAATATTGGTAAAGTTCAAAAAATTTAAAGCAGACGGGCATTTGGGTGCTTGCCGGTCGACCGCGAGCTTTGGAGCGGTCGACCGCAAATGTGTACGAGTACAGGGTAGTTTCTGGCTTGCCGGTCGACCGCGAGCTTTGGAGCGGTCGACCGCAAATGTGTACGAGTACAGGGTAGTTTCTGGAGTTCTGGTCGGTCGACCGCAAGGTTAGGTCCGATCGACCGCGAACCGTGTAATGGATTTTCTTGGTTTCTGTCGTTCTGTCCGGTCGATCGCGAGCTTTGGCGCGGTCGACCGCCAGTCGGGTTTGGGCCTGAGCTTTATTTCCTATTCTGATTTAGTTTGTGTTTTGATATATATTAAAATACGATTTTAGGGTTTGGTTTAATAAGAGAATAGAGAGTATTCTGAGCACTTTGAGAGCGATAACTTGTGTACGAGTTGAGAGATTATTGGTTAGGGTTTGTTCGAGTATTTGAGTGATTGTAATCCTTTTGTACTCTCCTCGAAACAGTGAAATCTCCCCATCCTCTCCCCATGGACATAGGCAAATTGCCGAACCACGTATATATCTGTGTTTGCGATTGGTTTGTCGTATTTTGGATTGGATTGCGCTCGTGTTTGGTTTGTTAATCTTCTTCCATGACTCGCGGACTCGTTTGGTTGTCGAGCACGCTTCCGTAAAGGCGCGCAACATTTGGTATCAGTGCTCAAATTTTAGATCTAGGGTTTAGCATTAGGTGGAGGAAGATTCATCGTGGAAGTTGGTTCTTAGAGTTCTAGGCTTCGGTGGAGATAGTGTTTGGGGTTGTCGTTGAAGATTTTGCTTTTCTCGTATGGTTAGGAGATCTATTTTTGGAATCCATTCTAGGGTTCAGTTGGGTAACTTCTAAATTCTATCAAGCTTGAATTTTCTTTATAATTTGAAGTTTGTGAGTATGGGAGAAGAATTTGTTGAAAGCAGCAAGATGGCGGGTACAGTTCAAGTTGGTTTTCAGAATACTAAAATTAGTATGGTTAAATATGACAGCAAGATCAATTTTGGTTTGTGGATGAGCGACGTACAGGATGTGCTCTATGTTCAGAATTTGCAGGAAACCATCATGGTCTATGAGAGGCCATCAAAATATAAAGAGGCGGTATGAGAAAAAATGAATAGGAACGCTTGCGGGGTGAACATGTCCTATTTGGAATAGGAGCTGAAGTATGATGTGATTAGGGTGATGTCTGCAATGAATATGTGGGAGATTCTTAACAATAAGTACCTTACAATGAGTGTTGAGAATCGTTTGTACTTGCTGTAAAGATTGTTCAGATTTCAGATATTCAGGGGTACCTCACTAGTAGTTCATGTGAACAACTACACTAAGTTATTGTCGGACTTGGTCAATGTAGATGAGAAGATTACGGATGAGTACAAGGCTATTATTCTTTTAGGCTCCTTACATGATGAGGAGTATGATACATTCGTATTTACTTTGTTGAATGGGAGATATTCTATCATATACAGTGAAGTTATTAATGCATTGACGAACTATGATTTGAGGAGGAAGGGCAAAGAGACTTCTCGCGCTAGTACTTTCTGCAAGGTCAAAATTTAGAGGTCATCACCAGTTAGCAAAGAACCAATGTACGTTCTGCAAGGAACATGGATATTGGAAGAGAGACTGCCCGAAACTCAAGGAGAAGGAGAATGGTAAGAAAATAGGCCCGAAGGCTAATGAGGTGAACTTTACAAGAGGAGATGATTCAGATGATTCGAGCTTTTCTCTATTGATTACTCTGAAGGTGAACCACTTGGATGTATCAGATTAGATGCTTGATTCTGGTGCTACTTATCATGTTACTCCTAGGCGAGATTGGTTTGCATCATTTGAGAGACTCGATGGGGGTGTTGTTGTCATGGGAAATGATCAATCCTGTGACATTTGTGGGATAGGTACCGTGAGGATTTGGATGCATGATAGAGTAGTCCGTGAATTGCAAGAAGTGAGATTTGTTCCTCAACTGAAGAATAATCTTATTTCTGTTGGAGCTTTGGAGGCAAAGGGATTCAAGGTAACCTTTGAGGACGTAGTAGCAAAGATTACTAAGGGATCATTGATGGTGATCAAGGGAGTCCGTAGTCAAAACTTGTATTATTTGAAGGGGAGCACCGAGGTTGACCAGGTAGCTTCAGCTATTTCAGAGGCGGACATGAGCAGACTTTGGCACTACAGGTTAGGGCACACATGAGAAAAATCACTACAGGTTTTGTGCAAGCAGTGGCTATTAAAGGGAGATAAGAGTGGGAAGATTAAGTTCTGTGAGTACTGTGTTCTTATCAAGAAGACAAAGGTGAAGTTCGGAACTACCATTCATAAGATGATGGGCATCTTGGATTTCATGCACACAGATGTTTAGGGTCCCACCAAGACTGCATCACTTGGTGGTCGACATTGGTTCGTCACGTTTGTTGATGACTATTCTAGGTATTGTTGGGTGTACACCATAAAACATAAGAATGAAGTTCTAGAGTTATTTATGGAGTGAAAGAGAAGATTGGAACTGCATATTGGGAGAAAGATCAAGACATTACGATCCGACAACGGTGATGAGTACACATCAGACCCCTTTTAGCAGCTATGTAGAGATGAGAGCATAGGAGACACTTCGTAGTTAGTCATACACTATAGCAGAATGAGGTGGCAGAGATGTTGAATCGGTCTTTACTAGAGAAGGTCCGATGCTTATTGTCGCAGAGTGGTTTGGAGAAAATCTTTTGGGTTGAGGTCACTATCATATGTGAGCCACCTCATTAATAGGATTCTTTCATCTGGATTGAGGGAAAGACCCCTATGGAGATGTGGTCGGGAGAGCCAGCATACGACTATGATCATCTCAAGGTATTTGGGTGCCCTGCATTTTATCATGTTAGAAGAGATAAATTGGAACCTCAAGCTAGGAAGGTTATATTTTTAGGATTCAAACGTGGTGTCAAGGGATACAAGCTATGTGATCCAGTTGATAGGAAGATTGTACTGAGTAGAGACGTCACGTTTGATAAGGCTTCTATCTTGAAACTTCCCAGCTCTCATTAGGTGGAGAGCGATCTGACAGAGGAGATATCACAGGTGGTGGAGATCAATACAGCTTCACATTGTTCAGATGGTACAATATCCATTAGAGTGCCGACTGAGATGATGTCAGACGAGCACGACGATGACGAGGAGGATACGTGTACAGATGTACAAGATCAAGGACCGACAGCTCAGGTTTAGGATTCTATTACGGTTCAGAGACAGAGGAGAGACAT